TAATGGAGGAACTCACACGAGAGACAAGTCCAAGCTTCTCAAGCTTCTTGACAGCATCATCCACGTCGAAATTGCAACTTTCGTTGAATTCTTCTTTGATGAATGCTTCACTTTGCATGTCAAGCTCATCCTTGCTCGTGGCACGACCTTGCTTTATCAGCATGAAGAACGAAATGATAACCTCTTTAACCTACATTTGATCATTCTGTAAGCAAAAACACAAGAATGAGACATGAAGTACCAAAAGTGGTTATTAATTAGAACCTCTTGTTGGATGACTTCATCACACAAGTGAAGCAAAGTGCCTCTTCCACTATCTAGCTGCTTATCATACACAGATCTTGTTATAAGGCTCTGATAATCTACCAAGTTTCTCTGAAACCTATGTTTACATTTGAATTCAGGGGAAGAGAACAGAGAGATAATAAGGACTAAAAGTTAAACAAAAGTGGAGGATATTGTTTGATTAATAGGTGTAGATTACGTGAAATATGTTTTGACGCAGTAAGCCACCACCGTGCTAAGTATGGCTGCAATGACTCTGATGTCAGTGTTTTTGAGACTCACTGAGCTTACCACTGTGACCTGTAAAAGCAGAATTTGATGATAAATCACATTTGTCAATGTCTTAAGTTTGTAGAACAATGCATAGCAGAACTGACCAGTCCTATAGCTGCAGAGACAAGGAACTTGACCCAATCTAGTGGCGTAAGACCTGGATTCTTCTTCTCTGGCTATCGTCGTTATGAGAAATAATCGGTTAATTTACAGTTAGTAAATATACATTTTGAGCTTAAAATGTGTTGGTTAATAAATGCTCACAAGTACTATTTCCATATCAGCCATTGGAATGCTCTTAAAATGTTTCACGTATACGTTCCTTTCTGATTCCCTCTTCCCTGAAACTCTCCTGTTTGTATGTGTGTATTCAAAACCAATATGAGGAACCAAACTCACATAACTCTAAATGTTTCCATTACTACTCTTTAACTTTTGTACCTGTAAACTACAATGATTCTCTCAAAAGTAGGCTCTTGGATGGTTATCTTTTTCATCAAGTTTGAGAGACTGACTCAGTGATCCAAAAACACAAGAAACAAGTCAATAATGATATAGTCCTAGCAAAACAAACCATAAGAAACAAAAATGATTGGTTGAGAAACCTGAGCTTAAGCTTCTCTATGCGGATTCTTTCGATGTACAAACTATCCTTCTCTGTATCAATACTAATATCAATTTGATGTGACAAAGCTTTTTCCTTTTTCCCATATATTAGTCTTGATAAACTGCAACATGGAATTTGTTAGTTATAAAGTTGTATGTACAGTTTGATAGCATTACTTGTGGCTGAAAATAAAGAGATGCCTACCATGTGATGGTGAGTAGAAAGTTCCAAATACGAAAAAGTATTGTATTTACTTTGGCTAGTAAGAAGTAAGCTGTCATGTGATCTATCCCAAATCCACGTCGGAATATTATATACTTACGGGACAAAACATTTTTTTATCAGATCACATTACGTATTAGTTAGTTAACGAAAAGCAATTTGTTGGATTCATGATAATGAATTATTCGAAGGCGATTACCTTATTAGCGAAATGAGGAAGATCATCACGGGGAAACTTGGAGAAGAATCTTGTCAACAATTTTGTATCAAGCTACACATATTAAGGATCCATAAATGGCTATATAAAGATATGTCATTTACAAAACCTAGTGAAAGATTGTCATATATTATAGGTATACCTTAGTTTCATTAACAACAATAGGGAGATTGAGACGATACTGCGCAGAGAGAGCTACTTGTATTTCTTCATTAGTTATCACTTTGAAGTTGCTTTTCTCCATGACCTAGGAGCTTTCTCGTTTCAACATTGTAGTTAAGGAAAAAGAATGGAGTTGAAAGAAAGATAAGAACCTGGAATAAATGAAGAAGAAATTGGTCTTCAAGAGCATCGATTTCACGAGGAGACAAATTCTGTTGATTAAGCCTGTGAGCGCCACGAATGGGTTCGAAGAGTGAATACAGTTGCTACAAATCAACGCAATGTCCCTTACTTTACAATGGTTTCAAGAAAGAATGGAAGAAGATGAATTAGTGACATTTATTATGTACCATAAGATCTTCAAAGTGAAGGTGGTACCAAGCTCTAATGGTGTATTCAACTCTCTGGCAGAATCTCAAGAACTCTTCTCTCTCCCATTTATCTGCTGGATAATGATTACCAAAATGTAGGATTTTAGAAAACAGAGAAATGTAGAAACAGATAAACAATTGAAAATGTAGAAAATGAGACCAAAGTGAAGGGACAATGCAGTGGTGAGTTTGTGCTTTAGAATTGGGATCACAGCTTCTCTTTCTAATCTAATCACTTCTTTTTTCTTCTCCCCCATCTTAATCTTGTGTTTATTTTTGATCTACAAAACAAACTTGTAGATGCCTTTCAAATGGTAAAAAGCAAGCAAAACAAGAAGGTTCATAGTTTTTTTTTGTGTGTGTAAAAAGCTAAGCTTTTCATTTTGTGGCTTCACCATTGTTCTCGGAGGGGAATTTCTTTTGTTGTGTCTCCTCCTCTCACATGAGTACTTTATTTTCCTCTCCATTTCCTAGTTGGATAGTTAATTCTGTTTTTGTTGCAAAATCGAATTTTCTTATTTATTTTTAGTTTGGTTTCTATGTGTATCCAACTCTGGGCCTAAATCAAAGCAATAGTTTGGTTTTTCACTCTGGGCCAAAATCGAAACAATAGTTCGTTTTGAAAATTCTTTTGGCTTATATTAGAAAGTTTTGCATGCAATACGCATGTAGTATCTTTAAAATATAAATGATTAATCTAAATCCATCTACCAAAACCGTTACCATATTAATAACATGATGAGGAAGTAACATTGTACTAACGATGGGTTGTTCACTCTATAATAAGGCTGCAAGCAATAAATAAATAAATTAGGTCAATTTATGAGTGAATGTTCTTAAGGGTTTGTCAATCTAAACCTTTATTCAAAGAATTTGAGAGATTAAACCTTTGACTAATATTTATCCTAAATATAATAAAAATGCTAAACAAAATTTATTATTTTTCTAGTTTTTCTATGTATATATACGATCAACATAAATATTGTATCGATTCAAGCTACGTCTTCTATAACAAGTAAATTTCATAGAA